GCTCCATGAAATGCTGAGGGTTAATATTCTCTGCTATTAATTTCAAATTCCAGATAAATATGGTTTCAGCTTTGATCCTATCTGCACTAATTCTTTGTCACTGTACTAATTAATTCAGCATGCTGGAGAAGAGATGCTAATTTGGGCATCAAAGAAATAAACGGGTTGGAGGAGGAGGTTGTGTTTAATGAGAATTGTTAAAAAGATCACTGTTACTCCCATTAGACTGGATCTGGAAGCTCAGTCATTTTAGTCTAGCCTCCAGCAGCTTGATACTGTAAATGTTTAAAAAAAGAAAAAAGAAAAAAAAAGCCACTTAGTTTAATGTTGACATAACAAAACAGGAGCAACAAAATATTAGCATGTGGGCAAGGAAGAGGTCTTGCTGCAGTAGGTCTTTTGCTGGGGTATCCCGTTGTTCTGTGGCTGAAGACACCATGGAGGGTATGGGATGAAGCCAGTGGCAGTGGGACAAGGAGAAGAGGTGCACACCTGTCCCTCTGACAGAGGTTTCCCTCAGGGAGGTGCTGCCATCTTCTTGGACAGTGGTACAGGTTTGAACAGTGTTGCCCAGCCCTTGCCATGCTTGCTCTGTTCTTGGAATCACAGCCTTTACCCAAACGTACTCTCATCTCTCTGTATTTGTTTCAGCTGTTGCAAAGCTCTCAGTCCTACCAGTGTAATACGCAACTGCATGCTTCTGTCCAATAAGTAAACATTTAATAATAAACCTTTTAGGTATTTAGAGAGCCACTACAAATGTAAAAGATGTATTTCATTAATGCTGCTATTAACATAAATGTAAAATGAGCCTGGTCTGTAATCACAAACGAGTCTGACTCACTAAGGATCTTTATAGCAATGTTTAATACTCTGTAAAAGTGTATGTATGAAAGAGATTAATCAAAGCACAGCACTGCTTCTAGAGCATTTCTTCTGCTGTAAAGCAGAATGATAAAATAACTTAAAACACACGGCAGTAGTGGCAGTTAATAAGCTTTTTATAGTCCCTGTGTGGACCTGAAAATCATACCTTATTAGTATCTTTATCTTTCTTGCTCACTCATTCATTCTTACTCATATTTAAATTTAATTTTAAGGGTTATTTCTAGTCTTTCATAAGGGAGCTGCTTTAATAATCGCATTTTTCCCCATTTGCTGTGAAGTGGCTAGGAGCCAGAGCTTTGTTACATGTACTTTACAGATCAGTCAGTTTTTTTACAGGTCATTTCTGGACAAGTCAAGAGTTTGACATTGTTAGGCTGTGTATCTTGCTTGACTGTGTCATATGCCCTCTGCCCTCTGGAATTATTTCTCTGCAGAAGCTTGCAATTCCATTATGTACCATGTTAGCTGCAGTGACACCTACTGATCTAAGGCAACTGAATTAACTTAGAAATCCAAGTTGCTGACTTTAGTCTACAAGCTGCTTAGGGTTCTACCCAACAGATGTTTCTCCTGCTTAGAAGTCCAGGATTTCATAGACCTGCCTGCTCTTTAATCCTTGAAGCAAATATCAATACGTTTGAGATCTGGAAGCACCCAGCTCCACATGGAAATGAAGTGTTGCCATGACCACAGCTTTAGGTCTTGCATGTAAGACGTTTATCCCAAATATAACAGAGCAGGCCTATAGAAGGCTTGTTTTAACTTTTATCCACTGGAATAGGGATAAAAGCCCTGAATCGAAGCATACATTAGCCTTTATACTGTAGCCAATTCAATGGTAATAAATACTGCGAGATGATGATGTACTTGGTATTCAGAGACTTCATTCATTTAATGTTTCTAAGGGGATAACGTTAGTTATTTGCAGAACACCCATACTCTTCTTGGAAATTCAAAGAAATAGGATAATCCCTCACTGTGCTATAGTTTGTTCTCAGCTGTTGCATATGGGCTTTTCCCATAAGGATGTATCATCATTCTGAGATCTGATCACTTAAAGAAAATTCCTTTATACTTTCGTTTACACGACTGTGCTCTGAGCAGTTGGAATATTAGTTTTCTCAACTGGAAAGTATGCTTGGGCCATTAGGCTTTCACTTCTTTCACAGTACTTCCCAGGCATTTACAGTGGGTAATCAGAGAACTGGGACAGTCTTTCAAGCAAACTGGAAAGTAACAGATGTATTTCTTTTTGGTCATTACAATTACAAGTGGATTCATTTGGCGTAAATTGGTTATAGATAGATGTAGAATGGGAGGGTGCAACCCATCCATTTGTTTCACGTCTTCCAAATGTATTTCACCATTTACACATAAGATTTTAAGAGTAACAATTCTGACAATAAAGACAATTCTGCTGTGTTGAGCATAGCAAACCAGACCTTTTAAAAATTTATGTGCCATATATCTTTTCATTAATGTTTTTATGCTTCTGTCAATAGTATTACTATAAAAGGCATATTTTACCAGAATCCAATTATTTGTTGCCTGGAGAACTGGAAACTTAAGGTCCTAAAGCCATTCAGTTCTCATAGAATTTTAATATGAATTTGATTAATTCCATAGTATAATTTTGACAATAGATTTTATCCTGTCCTTGTTAAAATCAGTAGTGGGCCTCTCACTGATTTCAGTGAGAATAGGATTAAACCCAGTTGGGCAGCAAGTACTCTTTTTGTTCTGGGTTTTTTGTTTTGTTTTGTTTTTGTCCTATAAGCACTAGAGAACCATTAAGCCTATAGTGCAGAAAACCAAGCAAAATTACAATCATTGGAAGTTAATTTTATCATCAGAAGCCCATGGCAATTAGAACACATTGGTAACCAGACCATAAATTTTAGGACAGGATGCATAAATTCAGGCAGAGATTATATTTTTGTGTCTGTGTGGCTTAATGCTTTCTGCTCTATATTGCTTTTCTTTAGTGTTAAATGTTTGCTGCTCTTATTCTTTAATGTTTGTGCAAGATCTTTGTTGAAAAACATATTACAGTAATAATAAAAAGCAGTGGATTTTTATGATGTAGCAACATGAAAAAGAAGCCAAAAATGTGAACATTTCTTTAGCCTAGAGCTGTATGTTGCATACTTAGTGTAACAGGTAAAAATTGTAAGTCTTCACAAATCCCATGTGAAGTCAAAAATAGGAAAAAAATAACAAAATGCCAAAACCAAACAACAACACCACCAAAAAACTACACTCCTTAAGACAACAAATCAGGGTTTTTTCCATCAAGACCAGCTCACTACTTCTGATTTACAATTAAAGTGGAATTTGCCAATTTATGAGAGAGCAGCTCTACCAGCAGACAGACAGCACTATTTTTGCAGAGAGTTGTCATGTTAGCAGTTATTACAATCAAGATTTTTACTTTGTCTTATTTAAAATGTATTTATTTCCTTTGCAAGGAAGAAATAATAGATGGACTTGAAAGGGAAGCATGTTGAACTTTTATTTTTGTTTCATTTCTCCTGAGTATGCAACATATTCAACTCCAACTCCCTGCAGCAATATGGTATGCCTAAGAATAATGTTTTCAGAATCAATACATGCAGTCAAATATAAGACTCCACACAACTATAATTGAAACAGTGGGAGAAAGGTAATCAGACTGAATATATACTAAGGACGAGAGTTGGATTATGACCAAGTTGCTTTTCTTGAGAAAACTGCCATGAGACCTTCCCGGCATACGCTAGCACTCAAAGGCAGGGTGCCTTGAGCCATTTGTTGTTCGGCTGGCTGCTGTCATCGTTCCCTTTGTAACCAAGTTCTCATTGTGTGGAAGACTTGCTGCAGAGTCCATGTGAGCTTCATTTGCTCATAAGCTCATAATTATTAAGTTCAATAAACGTTGGGATTGTAAACGTATAAGCTCGATTATTTGCAAGATTTCTGCTTTGGTCAGAGGAGAATCCTGAAGTCAGTGGTTTGCAACTGACGTATATGCATAATAGTTCTGCTCTTCCACTTGAGGCAACTTAGGATGACATGGAGAAAATGTGGAAAGGAAAAATCACCAAGGCAATAGTGCAGAAGAGTTTGTAATTTTCAGTTAGAGTAATTAATTTGCAATGTGATACATTTCATAAAGAATTAGTTACCTTTTTGTACGTTACTGGCGTTGATTTACATGAAAGAACACGTTGATTTGCATGGGAAGGCAGTGGTCATTTATTTACCTACTGAGTGGCGAATTACAAATTGGAGAAGAGGAAGGGAGGCTTTTACACTTTCTGACGCATAATTCACGAGCATATCTGGCATATCTGACCTCTCAGCATTCTGCCAACCTCTATCAGAAATGAATTGTGGCTCTCCAGTTTAGTCACCTTTTATGAACTGCATAACACAGGCTGATATGTTATGCATATCTCTACAGCGTGTAAAACAGTGGGACCCCAGAACTGATTGGGGTCTCTGGAGGAGTTTCACAGCATAAATATTAAATGATAGTACGTTACCAGGCAGAAATTAAAACCCAGGAGTATTTTTGAAAGAGCTCATATGGACTGTCTCATTTTGTAGTTTCAGAACATGGCAAGATTTCATTCTTTCTGATTGCAAGCTTATTTAAACAAAGAACAAATCTTTAAATTAAGAGCAGATATGATTTAAGAGACAGTAGATACTGATAAAAGCAGGACATGCGGTCTAGTCTGGGTTGCAGTACTGTAGTCTTTGCAGATTACTTCTTCAAGAGCTATGGTGTGGTAAGAAGAACCTTTAGCTACCTTAAAATGTGCACTGATGATAGTCCAGCCCCTACTACAATGCTTTGCATTTCAGGTTTGTTGGGCTTTACTACTTTCTCTTTCAAACAGCATCTTTAAACATTTCAGAGACCAAATCAGTGTGTAACTAGACCTACCTAATGTACATAGCCTATTTAAAATTGGTGACTTCTTTTGCAGCATGGGATCTGGGATTGACCAAGATAAAAGCTCTTAGTGTCATGATTGCCTAAAATTTCTGTGTTTTATGTTAGATAAGTACTGTTTTTTCTTCTGGTAATTACTTCCTCCTGACTCCTTCCTTGATATTTTAAACAGATTTGGAAAGAAAAAAGAAGATAAAAGTGGGAAAGCAGATCAGAAGGGGAATCCAAAGCATGACATACTTAAAGAAGAGGATCTAGAGAAAATGAAAGATGAACGTGAAAGGTGAGTAAATGATCACAGCATCTTATTTTGTCAGAAGAAAAACTTCAAAGGAAGGACTGCCTGAAGTAAATGGTCAGACAGGCAGCCTGACCAGAGAAGTCCTAGACTTGGAGACAGGTCCTGGCAGTAGACGATGTTAGGCTGTTCTCCTGGCTGAGTTAGGGCTGCTGTATTATGGGAGCCTACCTTCCTGCTCTAACTTCTCTGCACTTCACTGTGTAACTGCTATTCAGAACTTAACTTCTGCTAAGCTAGTCAAGATGAGTTCCTTCTTTTTTCTGTATTTCTCTAAAGCAAGATCCTCCTACTTTCTTCCCCGGCAGCCTCTGCTGTGTTTTCCAGTACACCAGACCTTTTAGCTTCAGCCAGCTGTACCACTAGATGGTAGTTTTTGTACTTAAGTATGTCAACACAAGAGTTTGCTGATTAGGCTTGTGTTGCAGAAGTATCTAGTCAGCAAATGCTGAGTAGGCAGACAACAGGAAGAAAGCGTGTCTAAATAGTTAAAGTCAGTCTTGAAGAGTCAGCAGCAGGGGGTCTGCAAGCAACCAAGGAGTGGGAAAGGGTATGCTGGACAAGGCAAGAAGCTGAGGTTCATAGGCATCACTTGGCCACCAGTAGTGAGGTGCAGTAAATCTGAAGTAAGGTTCCATTGCTGAAATACAGGAATTACTGATGTGAATAAGACCAGTTCTCTGTCTTGTTCATAAAAAGTTCCCTTTTAAAGCTCAATTTTACCAGTTTTGTTACCTTTCCAGTCAGAGAATGTGTAATTTTCTCCTTCTGCAGATCTGTCTGTGTCTGGGATAGTTTGTAAGTGCTCACAAGGCTTGCTAAGACTTGCAGACGCGCAGTGCCCTTCATAACATGCCAGTGAGGGTCATTGCTCCCCTCTGATGACTGCTGTCACAAAAGTTAAAGAGCCCATACTTGCTGGCTTTAAACAGGTTTTTGCAGTTGCTGTAAAACTCTTGAAGCTGTAGTATTATGGGTTGTCAATGCATAGGGAAAGCTGTCAGAGGTGTCTTTGAATGCTGGAGAATCCTCACTGGAGAATCCTGTTCCTAGGAGATGAGCAGATGTAGTTCATTTTGAGAGGCAAAATCTTTTCTCACAGTACAGATGAGCACACTGCCCAGCCTTTGTGGTGCTGGCCAGTGCCCAGGGAAAAGATATCCTGCTTTCATTTGAGTCATGCAGTGCATGGTCAGCTGTGTGAGTGGATTGATAGCTAATGGATTTAAAAAGAAAAAATAAATCTAAGCCCCAACCGTTGAAGTCTGCTGCTAAGATTTGTTCTATTCATTTTAAAGGGTAATAAGGTGTCCAGTTGCTACAGTGCTTCTACTGTATATGCTTAGCCAGTGTTTTAAGTATTTGCTTCATCTAAGCTAAGTAATGTCAGAAGTAACTTTGTACCATTTCTTTTTAAATTTCTATATTGCTTCCTATTTGCTAGATTGATGAGTGCCTTTATTTTAAACTGCTGACTCCCAGTTTGGCTACTGGCAATTTGAGAGGTATGTGTCCTTCATTTTAAAGAAGCCAGTGTCTTTTATTAGGATCCTGGCAAGCTAAGAAGCATGTATCCCATCTGTTAAAGGGCCAGTGTCATTTAGTAAAATGTTGGCAGGCTGCAAGGAATGAACCCTTCTGTCTAGAGGTCTAACGTTCCAATTGGACATGAGATAATTGTTCTTAATATTTCTTCAGCATTCTGTGGAGTTTTTTTAAATTACAGTCGTTGATTGACAGTAACTTGGTAAGACTACATTAGAAACTGGCAGCTGAGTGTCTTCATCGTTCTGGTTTCTCTAGTAATGATTTCAGCTTTGACCTGGAAGATTTTACGACTGAAATGGAGAACAGCAGGTGTGTTGAGAAATGGATGAACCAAGATGATATTTTTAACCCACTTATTTGACTCTTCTTCCATAATGCACAAAAATAGAGATATACCCTATTTTCTATCAGGTAATATAAGTTTCATATGGTTTGGGGATTAAAAATTTAAAAAATTAATAAAATAAAATGAAGAGGAGTGTTGAAAATTTCTTTACATTGGCCCCAGAGCTAGGCAACATGTGCTATAAAACTAAGCAAGTCGCTTCAACTCTCTAAATGAAATAAGCATAGTTGTATTATATAGATGCCCACATAAAAGTGTTTATGGACTGAGTCTTGAACCCTTGAATCATTTGTGAGGCATGGGAAGCTATCTTTGCTAGAAGGAAGTTACATAAGGTAGTCAGTTCTCATATATGGGTAAGAATGAGCAGGGAAGTGATCGTCCCTCTGTACTCAAGCCCAGAGGGGTGAGGCCAAACCTCGAGCACTGTGTTCAGTTTTGGGCCTCTCACTATAAGAAACATACTGAGGCCCTGGAGCTTGTTCAAAGAAGGACAACAAAGCTGGTGAGGGGTTTGGAGCACAGGCCTTATGAGGAGCAGCTGAGGGGGCTGGGGCTGTTCAGTCTGGAAAAGAGGAGGCTGGGGAGACCTTATCACTCACTACAGCAACCTGAAAGGAGGTTGTGGTGAGGTGGGGATTGGCCACTTCTTCCAAGTAACTAGCAGTAGGCTGAGAGGGAATGGCCTCAAGTTGCATCAGGGAAGATTCATGTTGGACACTGGGGAATACTTCCCCGAGGACTTGGTCAGGTGCTGGAACGGGCTGCCCAGAAGAGTGGTGCAGTCACTGACTGGAGTGTTCAGGAAACATGTGGATGTTGTACTGAGGGATGTGGTTTAGTGGGAAATATTGGCGATAGGTGGACAGTTGGACTGGGTGATATTGGAGGTCTTTTCCAACCTTGGTGATTCTCTGAATCTATGAACTGTTTGAGTAAAATCAGGGAATGGGAACATTATGTGTCTTAAACATAATTCAGACTTTTTGCTTTGTTGTTAACTATTCAACTAGTGATGATAAGTTAGTAGACAAGTTTTATAGCTCTATCTCAAGATTTAATAATTCTATAATGTAATTCAAATCCAAGATTTTAATGCACATATTGGCAAAGCAAACCTTGCAGCACATCCACACCATAGATCTTTCTGCTTCTATGACTTCACTAGCTGCAGTTCTGCATACTTGGTCTCTTCTTTACAAAACCAACCTTTGCTGAATTTTGCTAGAGAATTGTCTATTTTCAAATAAGTTAGATGTTAAAACTGTAAGGAGCATAGTAGTAGAACAAATGGGCTACAGAAACATTGGTAGAAATGCAGCTTGTTTTGTCCCCTAGTGCCTGCAAACAAATCTTGTATTTAAAATACAATTTGCTTTTCTAACATTCAACCTTTTTAGAGTTTGTTTAAACACATACCTGATTTTACCTTTTCAAGATTAGCTAGGTAATCTTTGTTCAGATACTCCATCTATTTACTACAGTTTTAAAGTTATTTTGCTTAAACTTCAGTTTTCTTAAATGCTGACTGCATAAATATTTCAGAATTTGTCATACTAAGACATACGTAAGATTTTTCACCTGACAATTTTTTAGAGGCTGAGCTGTTCATTTTTGGGCATTAGTGGAAGTGGTCAGAGTAATTGATTTCTGGACTGGGTGTGACAGGATTAATGATCAAGTGTGTTTCAGCATCTTAGCAGCTGTGGAGCTTGCATGGTTTTGTGAGGTTGCTTGGCAGATCTCCAGAAAACGGAATACTGTTCCAAGATCTCAGCTGAGAAATATTTTTCAAAAGGAAGTACTATTTTCGGTGTACGGGAGTAAATCATCTCTCAGAGTTTTGGGAAGGTTTTTTTGGTTGGGCATTGTATAGACAACAATAATATCTCATGGAATTCTAGGGATAGGCCTGACATAATTTTCTATTTTCTTGGATGAAGCTTTGTTCCAGACACTTTGACAAGACTTACAGACTTGCAGAAATGTCAGATTTGATCTCTACGTGATTTTGGGTTGGCTACATGGTACAAACCCAGTGACTCTGTCTTTGACAGGAAGCATCAGATCTTATGTAGGTGAGCTGCAGAAACATAAGTCCATCATACTCAGAGTAGGCTGGATTTAATGCTTGCACATACACTGTACCATTCTTTCTCTGTGCAACAAGTCTGACACATCCAGAATGTGTTAGAGCTAGTAGGCGTATGCAGACAGAGCATACAGCACTTACTCTCTAGTGCAGATGCTTCTCAGAAGGACTGGACTTGCTGCACATTGGTCCACTGCATAGGTTTGCTTGGACAACCTTTTACGGGTCACCAAGTTTCAGATTTGAACCTAAGAAAGTTAAAGTTAATTGAGTATTTCTCCAGCCTAGCAATTCTTATTTCTTTCTCACATTTTCTGATTCTCACTTCTCAGCACAGCTCTCTGTACTGCCTTGTAGCTGCACTTCTCTGGAGCAACTCTGCATCCTGTGCTAAAAATACTCCCATCATTATCATCATCATTTTTTACTGCTTTTTTTACTGCTTGTATTCCTTAGCAATCCCAACCAAGATGAAGGTCTCATTGTGCTCCTTGCTGTTAGGGAAGCTTGTGCCTGACCCTGTGAACATACAGTTGGAGTAGCAGAGACAAAATCTGGCAGAAAAAAATGTGCCCCAAGAGTGGGAATCTGATGTGCAGGCAGTGCAGCTGCTTGTCCAGGTTCCTAAAAAGTCCCTGTCAGGCCAGGAATTTGTTCCAGACCTCAGCCCCAGGCCTTTCATTGCAAAGGCAGTGCTTTATTATATGACTGCTACTTTTACAGGCTACAAGTGGTTAAATGGAATTTAGGATGTTAGGCATTCCTTGTTTAGTAATAGCTTTATCTGTGTCCAATTGAATAAGAAGTCAGCACCTCCTCTGAATTTCACAGTTTTCTCCTCCCCTCCGTACCTCCCTCAGCTTTTCCCTGTGCCACAGCAATGCAGTACCATTGAAACTATACCAGAGAAAGTCAGAACTTCATGGAACAGGTAGTTCAGGAGGACTGACTTGATGTATGATACAGTTCTTTGAGGTGGTGGTTTGTCCTCCCTGACAC